CTTTTTAAACAATAGTAGGGCCCTATAAAATGTTCTTAATTTTTCTGGTAATCAGATGAAGGCATAAAACATTAATTTAATTTATAATCAAATTAAAATTAAACCCTTTAATTTTTTTGGGCAAACAAAGTGCTGCACAACAGAGGTTTACTGTTAAAAATAAAAAGAAAACAGATGTGATTATTCCTTTAAAAATAAAGATTTATTAATATTTATTAGCAGTAGTAGCATTGAGTCTTCAGACTGCTAAATAGTAATATATTCTGACAGTTTAACGTTAAACTAAACGTTTATTTTGACGGGTTGCCGTGAGGAACTTGCAGCTGCTGTGTATGTGATATGCCGGTAGTTTTCTCAAATGAAAGGGTAAATGCTAATGAAGTGAGTCTCAGAGCAGCTGGAGATGACATTCGTGTTTATATCATCATATAGTGAGACGGCAGAAGCTGAAAACACCGCGAGCGTCATCCGCGCTTTAGTATGCGTGTAGTGAACAAAACAGTGCGCCGCGCCATCCGCCATTCATTCATTCACTGCGGAAATCATGGCGCCTTGTGCGTGATATCAGATGCTTCCGCAGATTTATAGCATTACTATAGCACTTCACCTGAGCCTCGCGAATCACGCGTATGGCCATGATAAGCGCTGAATGAGTGACAGGCTTTCTGTTGTAACATCACGCAAGGACTAATGATAAGATTCACGTTAATCAGATCTCGTTTTAAATGTGCTGAAAGAAATCCCGGAAAAGATCGATTCGCGGCTTTTGAGAATCGATATCGAATCGATGTCATTTAAAAAAACGATTAATCGAAAAATCCATTTTTTTGTCCAACCCTATGCAAATGAATAATCATAAATAGTTTAATCAAATAATCTTAGTGTTTTTTCATGAAGTATTGCTTTAGAAAAGACAGAAAAAAGTCAGTAGCAAAATGAAAACACAGCACACAAGAAGCAGTAACGAGCACGAGAGAGAAGAGTATGCTGTTAAAGCTGCTAAAGTTATTCAGACAAGCGCAGTGATTTCTCCTCTTCTTGTCAAATGACTGATTGATTAATAATAATGTAACATACAGTAAGATCTAATAATGCACAGATGTAATGAGATCCATCCTATGTTTTTTCTGGTCTGTTAACATCTGGCGCAGAAGAACACGAGGCTAGTGAGAAAGACTAGCAGAGATGTCTGAGTACATTTGTGCAGTTCAGTGTGCTAGTTCTTCATTCTGAACACATGAATTTTGTTTCATAATTATAATCACATTATATTTTACTGGTGATTAAATAAGTTTGTCCTTATTTAGTAGGACATTTTCAAGTGATGTGTGAACTTTTGGTCCCTCTTTGTTTTAGATTGAGTGTTTCTTAAGATCTGCTTGAACTGAAACGGTCCGTCAGAAGAGATTCTGCTCAGGTCAGTCCAGCCTCGACAAACACAGCTGATAATGCTTGATCTAAAACACTTAGTTCCTCATTATACATGCAGTTTTATGAGCCATCACGCACAGCAGGACTACTTCAGTAAAATAGGGAGGAGAAAAAAAAAAGATGTCAACTACAATTATTTGGCATTTGTAATTTTAGTGCACTGCCCGTTCATCCGGATCACAGCACATACCTGGTTAGTTCATAGGTTAGTTAGCAGATGGCTGATGCACCTGATCAGCTCAAGAAGTTAGAGCGCTGCAAACACTTTTCATGAGAGATTTATTTTGTACAGCGTGTTGAAATATAAGTTTCACCAGCACAAGATTCCCGTGAAGCTGGCTGTACCTTCATCTGAGAAGAGAAACGTCTGAATAATAAACAGAAACTAGAAACACAAGATTCTCTCTGAAAAGCGAACGAGACATTCAGTTTCTCTTTTTCTTTAAATAGTGTTTCTTTGTAACAGAACATTTTCCCTCCATGAACAGAAATATGAATCTATATGAATAAAACTTAAAACAGCATCACAACAACAACAAAAAGTAACTGTCAGTCCCCTTTACAAAGCAGAGTTCAGAGAGTCGAATACATTCATCTCCAGCAAAAAAAAACAAACAAACAGACAAAGGAAAAAGAAAAACACTTTGGTCGTTACGTCACGTACAAAACACCAAGACTGAACCGTTGACTGACTGAAACATGTAACATTTTCTGCTTTAAAGTGCACACTTTGAGGCTTTGCTAACTGACACGCACACGTGTTTACAGACCGACGGAGTGTGTGTGGGTCACAGACGACACGTGAAGCTCCTGAATCAGTGTGAGATCAGACGCATTAATGTTCATCTGAACTCACTGACACGTATTACTGAGAATGAAAACAAAGCTGAAAAACTGCAAATCAACTGACGAAACTCACACGCGTGTAAAAACGGCAGTTTCAGTTGTGTGTGTGTCAGTTTCATCCGTTCCACAATGATCATCGCGTCATGATGGGGCTTTTCTGTTGGTTTCAGTAACTCCGATCAGACTGCGCTGGATTATCTTTCCTATGAGAACGTCACATCAGGAGCTAAAATAATACTTAAAACAATTGTAACAGCTAAAACAAATACTTCAGAATAAAAAAAACACTGAAAGGGTCAAATAAATAGCTGAATTGCACAAGCACTCTATGACCGAACAACAGGTCAAGAGTTCATTGTCAGGAAGCCGTCGAGGGGAAACAGCGCCACCGTGTGTTTGAGACGCGCATCGCCTCGGGAAGCTGAAATCACTGCAGATTCACCGTCATGATTTGATCTTCCACAGCTGTGAAGCAAACACACAAACTGTGAACACAGCACCGACCGTATAAGAGACTCACAGACATCGACCCACAGCGAGCATCTGACCTTCAGGTTGAAGCCCAGCAGGTCACTGATGACCCCCGACACGGCCGACAGAATCACCACCTGAGTGATGTTATACAGCAGAGGATTCATGGTCAGACCGTACAGACGGAACGGAGCGTCCAACTCCTGCGGGACAGAGACACGTCAGCGCTCGGATACGATCACAGCGTCAGTTGTGTGTGTTTGTGTGCGAGTGTGCATGTGATGAGAGAGTGTGATGTGTGCGTGTGAGTGAGAGTGTGTGTGTGTGTGAGAGTGAGAGTGTGTGTGTGAGAGTGAGAGTGTGTGTGTGAGAGTGAGAGTGTGTGTGTGAGAGTG